ACTTCCCAAGCAGCGCACTGTAGCAGTGCGCCACCGGGCCGGCCCACTCATCAGTTTTATATAGATATTTTAGGCAAAAAATTCCCTTCAACACATTGATTTTTGCTACATTCTGTGAGTTTTGATATGAGTATTTGTCTTTATTCTCAATTTCTAATACCTAAAAATATCCAGTAAGATTTTTGAACCTGTGAGTATTTAACAGTGTGTTTTTAAATTTCCACATATGTGAGAGCGCCGAATCCTAACCACTAGACCACCAGGGATATTCTAATTTCTCTTTATGGATTTGCCTATTCTGGACATTTTGTATAAATGGAGTCATGCAATATATGGCCTTTTGTGTCTGTCTTCTTTCACTTGTGTAGTGTTTTAGAGGTTCATCCGTGTTCGAACACATCTCATTATTTCGTTCTTTTTTATGACTGCATAATAACCGATCATGTTTTATTTATCTACTCATCAGTTGATGGACATCTGAGTTGTTTCTACTATTGGCTGTTACAGGATAAGTAATGCTTCTGTGCATACGTCTGTACTAGTTTTTGTGTGGGCATATGTTTTCAGTTTTCTTGGGTATATCTCTAGGAGTGGATTTGCTGGGCCCTATAGTAACTCTGTGTTTTACTTTTTGAGGAACTTCCAGACTGTTTGTGAAGTGGCTGTACTATTTTACATTCCCACCAGCAATGTAAGAGGGTTCCAATTTCTCCATGTCCTTGTCATCACTTGTTATTGTCCACCTTTTTTATTATAGCTATCCTAGTGTCTGTGAGATAGTATCTCACTGTGGTTTTGATTTGCATTTCCCTAATGATTAATGATTTTTTTATATTAATTATTGAAACATAATTCATTGTACATATTTGTGGGTGTATTATTCCATTTCTGTTGCTTTTAACATAAATACCCCAAACTGGGTGATTTATAAAGAAAACAAAATTACTTGCTTACAGTTTCAGAGGCTGGGAAGTTCAAAGTCCAGGGAACACATCTGGTAAGGGTCTTGGAGGTGGCAACAGTGACCCAGGGATCTCACATGGCATAAATTGCAGAGCAGAGAGAGAGAAAGACTCTCATGTGCTCTCCTTTTAAGCCTTCAGAACCATGCCCCTGACCACCATTTATTAATCCATTCATTACGGCATTGTCCTACAATCTAATCACCTCTTCAAGGCCCCACCTTTCAATCATCACAATAGGATTTCCCACTCTCTCAAATGCTGTCATGGTGGGGGCAAGTTTACAATTCCTGAAACTCTGGGGAACACAATTTAAGTTTCAGTTAGTTTGGAAGGGACATTCAGTCCACAGCATTCTGCCCCTGGTCCCCGAAAACTCATGTCCTGTTCATATACAAATACATTCATTTCATCCCTAAAGTCTTGACTTGTTCCAACTCAAAAGTCCAAAGTTCAAGGTCCCATCTGTGAAATCAAGACAAGTTATCTACTTCCAAGGTACATATTCCCATTCAAAAAGGGAAAAATAGACCAAAAAAAAAGGGGTAACAGGTCCCAAACAAGTCTGAAACTCAGCAGGGCAGATATTAAATTTCAAAGCTGGTGAATCATGTACCTGATTCCACGCTCAATGTCCTGTGCACATTGGTCCCCTTGTCCTCAGTTTCACTCTTGTGGCTTTCCTGGTCTCAGGTGATGCTTTAACTCTTGCAGCCTGTCATTGCACACTAGTAGCTCCACAAGTTTGGGGACTCCATGGTGGTCCCACTCCCACAGCCCCACTAGGCATGGCCTTGGTGGGGTTTCTCTGCTGCTACTCTGACCCTACATTTCCTCTTGGCCTTGCTCTAGCAAAGGCTCTGTGTGGTCAATCCACCTCTGAGACAAATCTCTTCCTGGGCCCACAGGCTTTTCTATACATCCTTTGAAATTGGGGTGGAGGCTCCCAAGATTTCACAGTTCTGGCATTCTTGTATATTTGTATATTTTTCTAGTTGCAAGCCTGCAGACCTAACACCATTCTAATGCCACAGTTCTGGCATTCTTGTATATTTGTATATTTTTCTAGTTGCAAGCCTGCAGACCTAACACCATGTGGACAATGCCAAAGCTTCCAGCTTGTATTTTCTAAAGCTGCGGGTCCAGCCTCACCAATTTAGCCAAGTTAGCTATGGCTGGAGCAGCCAAAGCAGCTGGGGTGCTGGTATGGGGAGCAGCGTCCCAAGGTGGCCCTGGGTAGAGAGCCTGTGGAGGGTGCCTCAGGCCTGTTCCCCAAGTCCATTCTGTCTCCCTAGGCCTCTGAGCCTGTAACGGAAGATTCAGTCTCAAAGATTTCTGAAATGCCTTTAAAGTCTTTTTTCCCTTTTCTTGATAATCCTTTTCTTCTGTACTAATCTCCTTAGCAAACTGCCGCTGGGCTGCACCATTGAATTTTTCTCCTGAAAATGCTCCCTGCTTCTCAACCACATGGCCAGGCTGCAAATTTTCCAAATCTTTACACTCTGCTTCCCTTTTAATTATAAATTCTGGCTTTGACTTTGCCACCATACCTCAGCATAGGCTGTTGCAAGTAGTCATGCAGCTTCCTGAATGTTTTGCTGCTTAGAAATTTCTACCACCAAATACCCTGGGTCAGCATCTTGAAGTTCCACATTCCATGAAACTTTCAGGCATGAACAGAATGCAGCCATGTTCCTTGCCAGTTCATAGCAAGAGTGATCTTTGCCCCAATTTCCAATAAACTTCTTATTTCTGAGACCTCCTTAGAATGGTCTTTACAGTCCATATTTCCATAAATATTCTGGTCACCACCATTTAACCATTCTCTAAAACATTCTAAACTCTCCCTGGTTTTCTTCTCTTCTAAACTTTCATCAGCATCTAGGTTTTTTTCTAACCTGTTCCTTTAAATTCTTCCAGCCTCTCCTCAACACCCAGTTCCAAAGCCATTTCCACATTTTCAAGTATTTGCTATAAGCAACACCCCACTTCTCTGGTACCAGTTTTCTGTATTAGGCTATTTCTGTTGCTTGTAACAAAATACTTGGAACTGGGTAATTTGAAAAAAAACAAAACTTATTGCTTACAGTTTCAGAGGCTGGGAAGTCCAAAGTCCAGGTAACACGTCTGGTGAGGGTCTTCTTTGGTGGTGGCTTTACAGTAATGCAGGATGTCACATGATGTGAGTGGCAGACCTGAGAGAGAGAGACAGCTCTTCATACACTCTCCTTTAAACGCTCTCAGAACCTTGCCCCAACCATCATTATTAATCCATTCATTACGGCATGGTCCTACAATCTAATCACCTCTTCAAGGCCCCACCTTTCAATCATCACAATAGGATTTCCCACTCTCTCAGCACTGTCACAGTGGGGGCCAAGTTTATAATACCTGGAACTTTGGGGGACACAATATAAGCTTCATGAATTTAGGGGGACATTCAATCCACAGCAGTGGTATGCAGAGTTGAATATCAATACCTGTGTTTAATACATGATGCTTAAATCAGGATAGTTGATATATTCAGCATTATACAATGTAATCATTTTTTTATGGCCCTTTACCAATTTCTTGCTAACCCCCTTCTCCTTCTCCCTTTCCCACCTCTGGTGGCCTCAGTTCTGTTCTCTCCTTTTGAAAGTTCAACAAATTATTGTGATTGTTGTATCTTTCTTTCGTTTTTTATTTATTTGTTTGTTTGTTTGTTTTTTAGCTCCCACCACATATAAGTGAGGACATGTGGTATTTCTCTTTCTGTGCCTGGCTTATTTCACTTAACATGATTTTCTCTAAGTTCATCCATGTTGCTGCAAATGGCAGAATTTCATTCTTTTTTATACAGGGTAGTCCAACAATGGACATTTAGGTTGGTTCCTACTCTTGGCTATTGTAAATAGAGTTATGGTAAACATGGGAGTGCAGATATCCCTTCAACATGATGACTGCCATTCCTTTGGGTATATACCCAGCAGTTGGATTGCTGGATCTTATGAGCATCTTTTCACATATCTGTTGGCCATCTCTCTATATATATATTTTGGAGAAACATCTATTCAGATTCTCTACCCATTTAAAAAATTTTGTTGTCTTTTTACTATTGAGTCAGAAGAGTTTTTTATATATTCTGGAGAATATGATTTGTAAATTTTTCTCTGTGGCTTGTCTTTTAACTTCCTTGATAGTATCCCTTAAACACGAATGTTTTTAATTTTGATCCTTTTGCTTTTGAAGAATGATTTTCCTGGGTCTAGAATTGTAGGTTGGTGATTTTTTCTTTTAGCACTGCAAGGATTTTTCTGCACTCTCTTCGTATGTGGCTCCTGACTGGAGGTCTGCTGTAACTTTTATCTTTGTTCTTCTGTAAGTAAAATGATTTTCCTCTGGCTTCTTTCAAGATTTTCTCTTTGTTTTGGTTTACTTCAGTTTAAACATTATAGGCCCACATTTCTGGTTTTGTTTAAGGTACCTATCTTTCTTGGTGTTCTCTTAGCTTTGTGAACCTGTGCTTTGGTGTCTGTCATTAATTTTGGAAAGTTTTTAGCCATTATTACTTAAAATATTTCCTTTGCTCCATTCTCTTTTTTTCTTCATATGGTATTGCAGTTACACATATATTACCCCTTTTGATATTGATTCACAGTTCTTGGATATTCTGTTCTATGTCTGGTGTGTTTTTTTCTTCCATTCTTTTTTCTCTTTGCATTTCCATTTAGGAAGTTCTTATTGACCTATCTTTAAGTTCCCTGACTCTTTCCGTGTTTGTGTCTAATCTGTTGATGAGCCCATGGAAGGCATTCTTTATTGCTGTTACCGTGCTTTGATTTCTAGCCCTTGATTCTTTTTAAAAGTCTCCATCTCTTTGTTTACATTACTCGTCTGTTCTTGCATGTTATCTATTTTTCCCATTAGTTCCCTTAACATATTGATCATAGTTATTTTAAATTTCCTACCTGATAATTCCAACGTCTGTGTTATACCTGAGTCTGGTTGTGTTGTCTCTTCAGACTGTGCTTCTTCTTGCTTTTTGGCATGGGTTTTAATTCTTTTGCTGATATCCTGACATCTAGCTTCAATTTATGGGAACTGAAATAAATAGGCTATAGTGTGGGATTTATATTAACCTGTCTAGGAGTTGGGCTATGTTTAATGTTTGTTGTACATATATGTATCAGAAGCTGCACATTATTTTAGTGTCCTTGTTTTTATCTTCCCTTTTGGATTTGAGGTGAGATGTCATTAGATAGAACGTATCAGTTTGGAATATTGGAGTCACTAAATGTTAGGTTGATGTCCAGGCAATGTATCTTCTTAGTATTAAGTTTACATTATTTTGAGAATCCAGAATCATATAAATATAAAGGCACAGTTGGTTTAAAGTTGTTTTTTAAAAAAATATTTTATGAGCTATGTTATAGTAATCATGGAGGGGTTTTGAAATAGTTTCATGTGATATTGTTCAGGGCTCTTCTCTCAAGAGATACCTGAGTTTAGAATTATTCATGACTTTGAGACTGCTTTCTATTGATTCACCAGTTTTAGTTATCAAAGAGCTATTATATATTTGCTGTCAGTTTTATTTTGAAGAAACATAGAGGCTCTATTACAAGTAGAATAATTTTAGGTTGTTCAAAATTTCACTTATTTGTGTATTTTTCTAGTTGCAAGTTTTGGCTTAGTGCTTGTTTTTTAAAAATTACTTATCTATGTTTTTATGCGAGATATAATGTAGAAATTATCTGATGAAAAAGTAACTAAAGTATGACTTTAAATTCACAAGATCTGAATTTTTGGTACTGTTAAACTAAAAGTACTCCCCTATGGCTGGAAATGGAACCAATGAACAAAATCTTATATCATGTATAATTTTGGACAGGACTTTTGGTGACTAAAAGTTAAAAAAAAAAAGTATGTAAAAGTACCAGCACACACTCTCACTATGAAACAAATTTATTTTCAAAAATCCAGACGTGCAGGCCTTCAAGACCAAAGTAAAGCTCTCTCCACTTTGAGACAATTGTCATTTAATGCTCTTCAGTTCTCCTATAATAATAAAACATACCAAATATTTCAATCATTTACTGCACAGGAAAATTTCCTGTTGCCCATACATTCACTTAAAACAGCAAATTAGCTTATGTGAAAGAATAGGAATTGGGAGTTTTGCTTGTATACACACAAGACAGAACCTTTTAAAAACTCAAAAAATTTTTTAAATCCCCCAAATCTTTGATGGAAATAGATATGCCAAGAATATGTGCTATGTTTATTCAGTGGTTAACATATTCTTAGAAATATTATAGCATCCCTTGAGAGATACACATGCCCCAGGTTGGCCTTTCTCAAGCTGACCTAGCATAGCCATAGCAAGTATTATTTCTGACTGGTATTCAGATCTTCAGCCTAGTTCTGGTTAATGGAGGAAAGTACAAAGGTAAGAGACATTAGTTGATATTATTTCAGGCACTGTTGAGTGCAGTGGCGCTCCCGCCGAGGGTTCGGATCCCAAATGCAGACCGGTTCCCGCTCACTGGCTGAGCGAGGCACGGGAGCAGCACCGAGGGCTGTGATCCCGTTGCCGGTCCCGGTCCGGTGTGGGGGCGACACTGAGGGTTGCGATCCGTTGCCGGACATGGAAAAAAGACAAAAAAAAAAAGGATGTTATAAGAAATGTTGCTTCAAGAAAGATTTTGCTGGAAAGGAATATAGAAAAATGAAAATGGCTTTATTTGTTGGGATAGTGTGGCAGTGGGTGAAGTTTTTGCTTTTAATATGATCTGTTAATAACATATTATTTGTGATGAAAATAATAATGAATTTTAATGGTACAGTAAATGACGTTAAAAATACATGTTCGATGAAAGCAGGTACTGTGTTTTATTTCTTTAAATCCTTTTGGCATCTAGCACAGTCTCTTTAGCTTGGAATAAGTCTTCAAAAAGTATTTGATGCTTAGACTTCTGCTGTTCTCAAGCTGCTTGGTTCTCCCTTTGTTCTTTTAGGAAGAAGAAGAAATAGAAATGGCTGTGATCTACCTTCAAAAGTTACTTCGGGGCAGAGTTGTTCAGAACATGGTATGTAGGTCCAATCACCGGACCTATGTTTCATCTTTGAGAATAATGTTTTTAGAATGCATATGTGCTTGGTCATTGGGGTGAATTCCCTCTTGCACCCTGCTGTTTTATTCAGGGTATACTCTTGAGTTACCCATTCCCTTTTTATGCCCTTTGTTGTGCAGGTGGCTGGCACAGTGTCAAAGAGGGAGAGAGGAAGGACCTGCCTCCTATTTGCCACAGTTGTAAACAAGACACTGTGAAATTCATTTCTTCCTTGGAATTGCTAAATTCACAAATTTCCTCACCTAAATTTTGACTATTAAAGCATTATGAGCCAAGTAGATTCCCTAATTTTCAATGAAGTCATAATATAATAATTTGAGTTTGTATATAGCTAGCAATACCTGCATTATAAATGAAATAGCCAAATAATAACTACAATTTTGAATCCCTACTATATGCCCACAATATATATTCTTTCCTCTACATATATCATCTCATTTATTTTCTATCAGTAATCTCATTTTACAGGCAAATCTGAGTCTCAGAGAGATTAAGTTCACTGACAGCAAATTCAACTCTGGTCTCCCTGACTGTAAAACCTTAGCCAGATTATTTGTGCTGCAAATGCTGGTGCTCTTTACTTAAAATAAATGGACTGAGGTAAAGCCCTAGTTAAAAAAAGTTTTTTGGCCCAGACAGCTATAACTCTTAAGAAACTCAGTTATGGTAAGTCCAGGGAAGATGGGTGAGCAACTTGTGTTCAGCACTGTTCAGCACAGTTAAGTTCAAACAGCAGGGCCGGCCTGTTGCTCACTCGGGAGAGTGCGGTGCTGATAACACCAAGGCCACAGGTTCGGATCCCATATAGGGATGGCTGGTTAGCTCACTGGGTGAGCGTGGTGCTGACAACACCAAGTCAAGGGTTAAGATCCCCTTACCGGTCATCTTTTTAAAAAAAAAAAAAAATTCAGACAGCAGATCGTGTATTACAAACCAGGGGCAGACATATCGGAAAAGAAAATATGGCCAGGAAAGATGCCATCTCCAGGTTTCTTAGGGAAGGAGTACAGGAAACAAGGGGAAGGTTCTAGTTTCTTAATATGATCCCATAGTTGTCACTTTGTCTTTGAGAGGCATTTTCAGAAACTTAGTAAACAATTCACTGAAACTAAGCTCGTTCTCTGCCTGACAGCCAGCTGAAGGCACAAAAAAGAGGGCTGAACTCTAGCTCTCTGGAACACACCTCCTTTGTGGATCCCAAGAGGCAGGACAGAACCCACACAAGCATCTCACAAGTCACTGCCTGCAACTCAGAGGGGTTGGCCCAAAGGGATAGTAACTTGCAAGACTCTTTGATTTGATTTGATATAGATGTTTGAAGGGAAAGAAAAGAGATTGGAGTTGATCCAGGAGTTGCGTACCAGCCACGCACTGCAAGAAGATGAAAAGCTGGTGAGAGAAGCCAACAAGCAAGTGACCCTGGCCTTACAGCGGCAGAGGAACTTGCATCAGCATAAGGTTCTTCCTTTTTTTTCCTGTTACTTTCTTGTTACATTTGCCCCCTGTATATTTATTATTGCACAAACAACATTACAATAACAATAAATGAAATGATAAAGAAGAAACATCCCCCACCATTCCATCACTCTATCAGCGTTTATGAACAATGCTGATGCAGTACACAATGTGAATGGGCTGTGCCCTCACTGAATTGAATATGGTGTTATTTTCTTTATTTGCAAAAACAAAAACAAAAACATGCATTTTTCAAATTTAAGATTTTTCCCTTCCAATTTTTCTTAAATATTTGGTAGCTCTATTTTAAGTAGTAAAGGCTTAGCAGAATGAATAAGTAGTACAAGCAATACCAAAAAAAGTGAGAAATGAGATTTACTTTGAAATATAAGCACTATTTCTGAGTTTTGGAGCTTATATAGTCATGCTGATAAAATTGCATGTTAAATGTTATGATCTCATGATATTTGGTGACTTTCATCATGACCTCCTGGCCCTCTGCACCTGACACAGCTAAGAATTGCAGCTTTAAGCCAACAAAATGTAAATGTTTTCCCTGTTTTTTTCCAGTTTTTATCTCTATATACACACTTTTTAATATTGCTGACTATAGTGTAGATATACTTTTATTTCCTCTCCCACTTATCTGTAAATCAATCTGAAAAAGAATCAATTTGAACAGAGTTTAGTGTTATAAGAAAGTTAGGCAGCAAAGTTAATAATGACCCACCTTCAGTACCATGAAATAAGTCTTGTGCTATGTGGGAATTGGATGCAAATGGTGAGCAGCTTGGAAGTGACCATCACTTTATTCTTTTATATGACAGCAGTGCTGTGGATGGTTACTGAGCTTGGGGGAGCTGGTGTAGAGGGAGGGAGGAAGAAAGCCATAGGCTGTGAGACCCGACAGAGGGACCAAAGAAAGAGGAGAATGTGGACACTGGAGTCCCTGAATCTGGAAATCCTGGAGTCCTGTGGAAATGTTCAGACAGGGAGCAGAATGTCCTGAAAACACTAGTTCCTGAGACTCTGGATGGAAAAATGCCCTCATTGGCCCTTCAAGGTTTCTGATAATGGACTTTAGCAGGTGCAGCTTAGTCAGCCCAGGCTTTTCAACTCATTTACCCCATCTAGTGTATATACACATGGCTTAAATCATGTCAGTAAGAGCTAAGGGAGGAGTTAACGGGAAAAGCTGTCACTTAGCCAAGAACTCACCTTGCTTACCTTTAGCTGTACCTGGATACACTGATGATATGCAGGGGTCTGAGGGAGTGGGTACCTCATATATACCTACAGCAATGCTGGTCCTCCCTTTTCCTCCTTCTGTTATATTTCTGTGGAAAACAGCTCAGAAAATGCACAGTTCCTAATGATGTAATGCATTACATGATGTGATGGCAGCAGAATCACCTTCCTAAACATTTTTACTTAATTTGAAATTAGATTGCCCTTTTCCTCCTTCTGTTATATTTCTGTGGAAAACAGCTCAGAAAATGCACAGTTCCTAATTATGTAATGCATTACATGATGTGATGGCAGCAGAATCACCTTCCTAAACATTTTTACTTAATTTGAAATTAGATTGTACCACCTGAACATATATATGCACATTTCTTGCTGAGGAAGGAGACTAGACATGAGCAGGTAGCCATCTCAGGGTTTTAAAGGTTACATCTGTCCCCACTGCCCCACACCAAGTGAGGGAGCTTATGTTTCCTGGAGACAAGGAGAGAATCCATTTGTGGTCTCTGGGCTGAGTGTCCACTGTTTATAAATGTAAGGAGTACTGAGATGCTGTTGGTTTCACCTTTTCCTCCCATCTCTCCCTATTATGTAAGTAAAGTTGAACTTGTTGGTTAGAAAGTATGTGCGGGCTGGGAGGTAGAGGAGCATAAGGATGAGAGTGTTGGACTGACAACTACACTTGACTGACGGTCTCACCCAGTAGCTGCACTGCTTTTGAGACCTGTGAGTTTGCCTTCCCTTCAGATACAAACCAGAAGGGGAACTGGGCACAGAAGGGGAACTGTCCACATTAAACTAGCATACGACTGGAAGAAGAGCCCTTTTCCCTTATACCTGAGGATAGGAGAGGGAGTAGGATAGGTTGCAAAAGATAAATCATCCTAAACACTTTTCTTCTCCATGTGTCAAAGCCAGGACACAGGGATGTGTAAATAGGTACTGTGGCTGACTCCTGGCCAAGAGCTCCACGGGTCCTTTATTTTACCTCAGTGATCACATAGACATTTAGGCTTTTTCCTGTGCTGTTTCAAAAATGGTTAATGGCTTTGAAGTTATTAAAAGACTAAAAAGTACCAAGGTTTTCTACTTTCATGTTATTTAAGATCTTAAAATTCCCCAAAGTGGTGCAGAAGAACCAGACATTAAAAAATTAAAAGGTATCATGAGTGAATTTTCTAGGAGATTCTACTTTATTAGACTCCAATATTATCTTTAATAAAAACATTGACATCTCCCTTCATGTCTGAGAAGACGCACTTTACCTTCTGGATGAAACTGAAAGAAAAAAAGACATTCTATATGGTCACTCACAGAAATGTATTTACTGAAGCTTCTTCGTTATTTGAGGGCTCTGATCCATCCGTGACCGACTAATCAGTCTACTTTCTCATGTCTGAGTTTTCCTAGTAAGAACCCTTAGGGTGGGGCCAATCTAGAGATGATATTTCTAATAAAAACATAATGCCTTCTGAAAGGGAATCGGCTGCCAGGAGTTCTGAGTAATCCAGCACTCCTCCTAATAGTCACCATTCACAGTACAATTTGTATCCTTAAAGTTATATTTTATTTTTAAGGTGTCACTAGTGGAAAACCATCTGGCTGGACTGGCGGGAAGGACGCTGGCAGACATGTTTGACTTCCTGTCTAAAGAGCTGGTGAGGCTGCAGGAGGAGAGGAGGGTCCACGCCTTTGCCATGCTGGCCGAGCGCCAGCGGCGGATGCGAGAGGCCGAAGAGAGTGGCCGGCGCCAGGTGGAGCAGAGACGCCAGCGGGAGGAGGACCAGATCTTTAAGGAGGCAAGTGGGGGCAGCTGGGTGTAAGGCAGCCGCCTAGAAGCAGCCAAGTCAAACCAAAGGAATCTCATGACATAAATGGCATTTGTCAGTTATTTTTTATTTTATTCAGCAAATGTGTACTGGTTCCTGCTATATGCCAGATGCTGTGCAAAGGTGTTATGGGATACTTTGGAGGAAAAAACCAGACATGATTCTTTCTCTCCTGGAGCTTAAATAACACATAACACACACACAAGGACAGAGTTAGAAAATGTAATGAGTTCCGTGAAGGAAACAAATGGGGCCCAGTGGGACATTGTAAACAGGTTACTCTGCTGGCTGTGTGGAGAGCAGGTTGGAGAGAGGACAGAGTGGGATCCAGGAGACCCGGGAGGGGCTGTTGAAGTAGTTACATCCAGAGTGAGAAACAGGGAGAAGTCCAGGATATGACATCCAGTTTCAGGCTCAAGCCACTGGAAGGTGATGGTACTATTTCTTAAGAGGGAAAGTTGAGAGAGGAAGAGGTTTAGGGACAGAGGTGGTCTCAGGAATTCAACTTTAGATTTAGTTTAGGACATCTAAGTGCAGGTGTCATTTCGGTAGATGGATATATGAGATGGAATTTAGAAGAGAGATTTTGGCTGAAGACATAAATTTGGCAATTTGTGTACCAGGTTGGTAAATTATAATTCTGACCAAGGTACAATGGATATGAAATTCCAAAGTGACCAAGATGGAAATTCTAGGAACCAGTAATATCTCAAAGCACTCTCACCCTCATTGAGAATATGAAAGGTTATGTGTTGAAACTGGAGGGAATTTGTGAGGAAGATTCTTTAAGGAAAACTGGGCTGTGACTACTGTCCCCCCGCCCCCACCACACACACACACACACACACGGGGGGGGGGGCCTCAGGGGGATACTTCCCTTTTCCTGTAGTCAAGAGACAGGAGCTTCAGTGGGACCACTTGGAGAGCTTGATATGTGTTCAGGTAGGGTGTCTGAACCCCTAGGAAATGGAGAGGGAGAAAGCTGGGCTGGTGGCTGCTCTGAGGTGGGCACAGAAGAGGCTGCATGGGCAGCCGGCACTCCCAGAATATGTCATGGCTAAGCTGTGTGAGTACTTCCCCTGGACCAGATGTGGGAAAGACAGAAACAGCCAGCCCGGAACTTAAAAAGATTCCTCCAAGAGTCCTCTAAGAGGGCTGTCTGAATCTATATGTGGATACTTTTGAGCGTCCCAGGTTAAAAAAAAAAATGCTATATCTTATTTGGTCTGAATTTTAATGACTTACCTGATTCCCATGAAATTAGGATTGATCCATGAACAGTATTTGGTGTTTTTTTAATCAATAAACTTTTTGTTTAGAACTGAGCAGGTTTGCCTCCTTCTGTATAGCTTAAGAAGTTTTGGGTTATATGTTGGCAAGTTCAGGTTTCCAGCTTGAGTGGCAGGTCATCCACGATGTGTAACAACCTGTAACAATAACTCATATTCTAGCTTCCTATCATCCTAACACACTTTGCTTCAAAAAAGAGTTACTGGAATTCAGAAATTATTGACAAACCAGAACTTACTATCCCCTCCCTAATATCACTAAGGAAAACCAGCTGGGAATGGGAAGAACCAAGTGGGGATGAGAATAAAAAGAAATGGAAAAGGGGAGCCACTATGCTCAAAAACAGAAAGGACGAAACTGGTAAGAAAGCTTCTTAGGAAGGTACTTTCTAAATGGGAAAGAGGTCAGAATATGTCAGTTATGTCTAGGAAGGGCAAGAAAGGATTAAGATAACCCTTCCAGCCCAATTTAAGGACCACTTATGTAAAGAATGTATCCAGCTGTGGACCCACAGATCCAAATACCATCCACATTTTAATTCCCAATCTCCTTTATTAAAATACAATTGCTATTTTCCTCCTACCTCCCCAATCTCCCTTCATACAGACCGTCTTGAAGATATATATGCTTGCACATAAATATACCAAAACCCAGAAATGTATATATTTAATAAATTTCCAGAAAAAATAACATATAGATAGTGAGAAACACAGATACAGAGAGTCACAAACTCATATTTAAATACATATACACTCTTGCAGGCACATACACAAAAACATATTCACAAATACAAGCCAGTGTGCACAGTATTGGCAAGGACATGCAGGAACACACATAGACACACATATAACCACTTATATTTCCTTATTCACTCATGCACACACAAGCACAAGCGTGTCCAGTAACTTACACATTTATAAAGATATATGAAAACACACAAGTACATATATTGCTATGGGTGGACCACATTAAACTTCCCACCTCTCTCCTATTGTGACTGAGCTGTCTAATTGTTCCACACGGGTGTGACTTGCTTCCTGAATAAGATGGTGGGCTCTTTGAGAGCAGGCATGTTGTGTATTACGTAACTGCGTGCCTTCCACAACAGCAACATAAATCCCTGTACATAATAGACTTTCAGCAAATGTTTTGGTTGTTTGGTACTGTATTAATCTGGTCATTGAGACTCTCTCATAAGGAAAACATAGGGATATAAGGTTGGCATTTTATAGACAGATGTACAGTAAGTATCACATACCTAGAGTTGTGCTGCACTGCCAATCAAGAAAAAGATACTGAATCGTTACTGAATCCCAGGGATTGTCCCATATACAAAAAAAAATATTCAGACATGAAATAAAAAGTTCCCTTCCCCTAAGAATCTCACAGTTTGTGGAGGAGGCATTGTACATATGCATACAAAGCTGAGTGTGCTGTAGTTGATGCTCATTCTACCTCCTGGGTATATATCTGTACCGCAGGCAAAATAACTGTATCGCTTATGGTTGCATACTTACTTGGGAGCAAAATTATAAAGAAATGGAAATATTTACCTTGAAAGTAGAAAGGGATTGTGATCAGAAAGAACCACAGTGGCCTTCTGAGATACTAGCAGTGGCTACATGAGTGCTGGCTTTACCCTAATTCATTGCTCTGTACGTTTATGTACTATGCACTTTCAAAAATCTGTATTCTATTTCATGATTTCAAGCAAGCTTTTAAAAAAATCAGCAGTCCAGGGCTGGTATCATAGTTCAATAAATTCATCAGAGACCCAGGATCCTTCTAGCTTTCTGCTCTTCTGTCCCTAAGGCATGGCCCTTACGGCCATTTAAGATGACTGCTAGTGTTCCAGCATTATGACCCCATGAAACGAGAAATAAAAAGAGAAAAAAGCTAAGTCTTTCCCTTTAAGAATTGTTTCTGCAAGTTGCACATATCACTTCTGCAAATACTCCCTGTAGGTGCGAGGAAATGTAGTCTTAATTCTAGGTGCCTGGTTATGCAGCTAAAATCCAGAGTTTCTATTATTTAAGAAGAAGGAAAGAAAAAACATTGGGAAATACCTCCCAGTCTCTGCTACAGTTAGGTATTTTGGCAAAGTCACGGTACTGGTAAAAACAAAGCCAGGACCCAAACCAGGGTTATTGACTCTAAAGCCCATGATCTTTAGCATTATGTATTGCCCACCCCCAAGATCCATAATTATAAGATGGGCTAAATGGACAGGGACTGCCCGGAATGTATATGTGGGTGAAAGAGAAACAGACTGACTAGATGGTAAAGCAAAGGAATGATCAGTGAAGGGACTGTTGACTTAATGAATGAAATGCATGTGCTAAAAAAAGACAACCAATGTTTGTATATTTTTCTTGTCTAGTTTACAATAACATTCCTGTAGTTGGTAAGTGTGGGTATTTTTGCTTTCTGTAGGTGATTAAAGTTCACCAAAGTACTGTAACCTCCTATCTAGAAGACATAATACTGAACACTGAAGAGAGTACTGCAGAAGAGCAAGCCCGAGCAGAAATTGAGAAGATGGCTGAGGAAATCAATGACGTTGCTTATGAAATGGAAAGCCGGTACGACCAAGAGAACAGACTGTAGAATGGACAGCCCACTGCTGTTATTCACAAGTATTTTTTCAAGAGCTTAATATTTCACCAGCAAGGAGAAACAGATACATAACTCCTGCTTCAGTGTTCATTGTTTTATTAGCATAACTCTTTAGAAGCCAACTAGCCTGTACCTCTGTATGGTAGGAGCATCGGGAATTGAATTCTCAGTTATCCACTGCAATCTGGATTACTTTTGTATTACTTACTTTTAGAATACTCAGAGACGTAAAATCAACATGAATAGTGTCTGCAACATTACTTGGACTTCATCCCAAGATTTTTGGCTTCCATGGATAAGCTGTATTTCTAACATTTCCTTCCTAGCAGGCAGGGTAAATGAAGGACAGGGTCAAATCTAAATTTTCCATGGAGTTAAACAAGCTCACCAGGAATGTGACATTTCAGATCACTTAATCAAGGAAAAGGGGATGGCGGGATTTGAGCAATGGAGTTACACAAACAAGGAGGATCTAAGTATAAATTGGCAACTCAAGTAAAGAAACAAAGGAAACAGTTTAATTTGTTTTTATTTTTTAGCCGAACATATCTTCAGTCAGAGGAGATTGTTGCCGAGTTGGTTTATAGTTTTCTGATCCCAGAGGTGGAAAAAGATTTTGTCAAAGAAAAAGGTAAGCCAATACAAATGCTTCACTTTTGCATTTTTTTTAAAAGATGTAAATTGTTTTCAATATCCCAGAGATTTAAAACTAAACAGAAATATGGGGAAATTCCTGAAGGAGAATCACTGAGTTTTCTTATTTTAGAGCTTGTCAAACTCTCTTCATGCTAATTCCAGAATATAATCACCTGTACTATAGATGGGATGCAGTTCTGATAAGCTTGGCAGAGTATCAAAATCCAAACCTTCTTTAAAATGAAGTTCTGAAGATCCCAGAACAGTTGTATTTTGTGATTTTTTTTTTTTAACATAAAGCAAATGTTGAGAATATGAGGGCCTTTCAAACTACAGCAGCCTTTTAGAGGCAGGGCATGTGAGCTGTGGTGTTGAAAAGCAGGCATTCCCGAAGGGACTAAATCTACTCTGAGGCTCTGCCTATGCCACAAATATCTTGTTTCTGCTGGGACTGTGTCTAAATATAAATATCCTAATTTATCATTTGTCAGAAATGGCATGTTTTTAAAACTTGATGCTTTTAGTCAATAGAGAAGAAGAAAAAATAGGAGGGTGCTTCAAACAGTTCATGGAAAGATTCATATTATCTTTTAATTCTATTTTCCATGAACTTTTCGAAGTAACCTCATACGTCTTAAAAAGAAAAAGAAGATTTTTCTGGAGCTCTGAGACTATTGGTGGCAGGCCGGGTCCCAGACGGAGGATTGCAACTGGCAGAAGACCAATATTTAAGTGAAATAGCAGCTCAGACGCTTTCAGAATTATATACAGAGGAATTCTGGACAGGTTTAAGCAGAAAAGTGTGCAGTATTTCAGATCACTTAATCAGGAATACAGGGGTGGTGGAGTTCTAACACATTTGGAAAGGACAAAGAAATACCTTATTTTCCCATTACATGGTTGTAGTGTAATTTTTAAACTGGTACCTTCTAGTGATAAGCATTTAGTTTATTTCCAGTGTATTTTCCTATTACTAACAGTGCTGCAGTTAATATTTTACACATATTCTGCCCATGCTTCTGAGAATAAACTCCTAGCAGTACAAGTGCTGGGACATTGGGTATGTGCATTTTACATTTTGACAGATACCACCAAATTGCTTCACAAAAAGATTGTTTTAATTCATATTCCCATCAACAGTGTATGATAGTGCCTATACCAACAAAATTTCATTTTCAAACTAATATGTATTTTTGTGTCACCTTATGTTATAAAAGGAACCTTATGTTTTCTAGATCCTTAAGAATATAGGCAACTCCTTTCCACTTCTCGTAGTCCAAAGTGAGGTCAGCTTGTTTCAGAGCCATTCCACAGGGGGATTGAAGGACAGGAGGAAAGCGGGTTTAACATTTGCCAGTTTGAGATATCCTTCCCAACATCTCCTGAGGGAGATGATTTGGAGGAGGAACTCGAGCTGAAGGAATCCAGCAGGACTTGTCTGTTGGCGAGGTTGGCAAGTCTTTAGCCTCTGCTCTTTATATTTATGCCAAATCAAAAAATGCCACAGGGAGCACACACTAGGACCTTTTGTTTCTCTTTCAAATAAGAGAACCATATATGTTATATTATTTTAATTTATTTATTATTTACATTCTAAGATATTGTTACAAAGCAGTTGAGGAAAGGGGGCGTGGAGAAGGGGGAGAGGGTTAGGGTGGAAGAAGGAGGAAGGGGGTGTGGTCAAGGCCCATGGCACCCTCCTCATTCCAACAGGGGAAACCAGGGGGCTCCCGGCGGTGGCTTGGTCATCACTGGGCTGGATGCGGACATCGGCAGGGGGTGGTAGCTGAGGCCCATGGCCTTCCCCACCCCCCGGCTTGGTTTTATAACTGGTCCTTCTAGGTTTCATAGGTGTTCTTTGGTGGTGTTAGACCTTTACTGGTTAATATCAGAACTTTGTCTCTGATCTGTGGGTATTTTGTTTTTTTCTTTCAGTTCTCTGTTGGATTATTCACTATTCTCACCACTTAAACTCTGCGCTGGAACTAATTTGTTGTCCTTTGGTTACTTCTGAAGTTGGGGAACTTCCTGTGGGGACCAGTACTTGAGCCCTGTGGTTGAGCTAAATTGTTGCTTTGCTGCTGATTCCCTGGGGAAGGCTTTTAGTGCAGCTCAGGTTTTAATGGTTGACTTTATAGGTGCTTCCAGGACTCATGAGATCCGGTGCACCTGGGTTGTGTGGAAACTCTGGTCTGGGCCTGAGTCTTTTCAGCAAACTGCACCCCCTGCAGTTCTGTGTTCCTGACCTGTCTCCACTGAGTGGGCCTGTGCTGATTGGAGGGCAGATCAGCTGTCCTTGCTGTGCCCCGGGGTTCCTCCAGTGGGCCCATCTCCCCCACTGCCCACACTCTAAACACTTCCCATGGGATAGGCCGTGCTCCAGTACCTTGTGGTGACTCACCAGCCTCTGAGTGGCTTCTTTTTTCAGTTGTCTGTGGCCCCTCACTCCTATGTGGGTCCATGGGAGTCCTGTTAGTGGTCCTGCTGTCCTGGGGGCCACCAAGGCCCTCTTATCCCCTACAGCCCCAAGCAACTTCATACAAAGTTTGAAGACTTTTGCCAGCTCTTGCTCCTTATGCTCACCAGGGCCAGACTTGAAGCAGCCAGGGCTTGAAATGGTGGGAGCGATCCTTTCTTTCTATCATTGTGGCTTCTCCTGCCCTCATGCACTCCATAGGTCTCTCTTCCTCTTCCCCTGAGCTCTAGAGGCCCCAGCTTGGCTGTTGTTGCTTTTTAGTAGTTGTAAGTTGGTTGATTGTGGGAGAGAGTGATGCTGTGGACTGTTTCACTGATTCCACCACCTTGAACAGAATTCCTATACATGTTATATATACTCTTTACCTAAAATTAAGATAATATTATACATAGACCATTTTGAGACATCTCACTTTTTAAAAAGCTGATGGATCAAAAAGACCTTAAGAGACCTGTATGTAGATATAAAACAACAATAACTGCCGAATTTTAAATGCAAGCTAAGTTCTAGGCATTGCATTAAATTAAAATTTTTAAATGTACATTATCTCAATTTCTTACAACAGCTGTAGCAGTTTTCTCATTTTCCAGTTAAATAAATTAGTGCTTGGAGGTGTATGACTTGCAGATTCAAACCATGGTCTGTGTAACTCTGAGGTCTCCACTTTTTCAACCGTCCTACTGTGAAGTGCAATATGCTGCTGTGTGAATTACCCTGTGTCAACTAGCTGATACCCAAAGAGCAAAGAATCCACAGAACTTCTTACTGTCCTTTACTAGCTGTATGATTTTTGGTAAATTACCTAATCTCTCTGTGTCTATGCTTCTTCTTTTGAAAATTGGGATATTAATAATATTCTCTTTTAGGATTGTGGGAAGATTAAATGAATAATTGTACGTCAGCTGCTTAAAATAGCGCTTGGCACCAAGTATGGACAAATGCTAACTGCTGTCATCATCGTCATCATCATTGCTCCTTTCAAGGGCTTAGATGCTTAGTAGTGTCTGTAGTAAGCCTTGAAAATAAATATTCTTACACTTTAGAGCTAGAACCACCTTCTAAAGGCATGAACTCAGAAACTCATCACCAATCAATAAGTGACCTCCATATTAGGATCTAAGGCTCAGAGAAAAGTATGAAAACTGGTCTTCATCTTTAAGTCATTTACAATCTAGGTAGAAAACAAAATATAACTCAAATGAAGTGCTTCAGTGCTGAATGATTTGATACAAGCCGAAGTGTGGTAGATGGCAAATGCAGGCTGACATAATCAGAGGAGGTTTCCTGGAGAAGCTGGGACTTGAGCAGTGTTTTACAAAAAGGGTAGGGTTTGGAGTGCAGGCATTCCAGGCAAGGGAAACTGCCAAGGAGAGGAATGGAGGCAAGCCTGGTGGGAAGGAGTATGAACCAAAGAGTCAGGACAGAGGGAGCAGCAAGAAATGAGATTCGGGCTTGGTTCACCTTTAGGTGCCAAAACCTTCTAAAACAGAGAACAGATAATTGTTATTTAACCCAATCAGCCCTAAGTCAGAAAATATGTGGTTTGCAAAATTATTTCTATTTCTACTCTCTTGAAAACATTTGGGAATGTTTAAGACTTTCAGAGTAAAAACTTTTCTGTCACTTTGGTGCAGTGAGGAACGCACAGCGGAAACATATTCTTGCAGCCCATCAGATCATCCACAAGCACACAGAAACCATGGTCCAAAAGATATCCACTGAGCAACAGCAAGATAAGGTCTCAGATGCTGACGAGTCACTCAAGGAAGAAACTGAAAATGAAAACAGCTAAGGTGAGTTTTATTTTCCATCTGGAAGGAAGCAGAGGAGGAAAAGCAATATCGTTCAGCTTTGTTCTGTGCTCTAACAATCATAATGGGAAAATATTGTCTGTAGGGAAAGTGAAAGCAAATGATCAGGATCCTTCACCTGTTAGGAATCTTGATGAGTTTTTGATGTAAATGATAGCTCTGCACATGCGCTCAGGTGTTCCTTGGCTATTATCTGTGGATGCACATGGGCACCCAGGTGTTCCTGGGTTGTCTGACTCACACCCAGGTGTTCCTGGGTTATCAGACTTAAGTATAAAGTATGAGCTGCTCTGATCCACGGTGCCCCCCCCCCACCTCTGGGATGCCCCCAGGGGGGCCATGGGATGGCCACTACTGCTGCTGGAGGCTGTTGCTGCCTGGGCCCTCAGAACACCCTGGGAGGCCACTAGGGCAACTGTGGTTGCTGCTAGCTACCTGAGCTTGCATCTGAATAAAGCCTATTAATTTTTACCCAGAGCTTCCTGGATCTTTTTCCTATTACTTATCTTGTGGACCTGCATGTGAGGGGTCTGTGACCCAGTCGGTACAATGGGTTTGAAGGGTCTAAGGCCTAACCCGACAATTGTCCATTGTCTAAGAAAATGAAACACTTCCACTTAAATTGGAAATGTGAAATTATCAGAGAATTAGAGTTGATATTACAGCAATTGGACTCTTGTGATCTGGAAAACAGGACTCTATGTTTTTTTTATGGGTACTGTTAGCATGTCACTGTACCCCATCACAAATAAAGTTACAGAATGTGTCAGTGTTATAAAAAAAAGCTTGTTCTTATGGAAGTAGACAAGATATGCCCTAATACATTGTGCTAGTTGTAAGCACAGCACAAGCACAATAAAGTTACAGAATGTGTCAGTGTTATAAAAAAAAGCTTGTTCTTATGGAAGTAGACAAGCTATGCCCTAATACATTGTGCTAGTTGTAAGCACAGCACAAGCACAGAGCCTGCCCAATTCTAGCACAAACCCCTCTACACCGCCCACCATGGGTTGCTCTTAGGTTCAACTAAACGTTCATACTCACAAGACTAACATAGGTCACATTTGGCATGAATCTACTCAGAAAGATATGACAGGAAACACAGCTTCCAGCAAGGCAACATCTGACATTTTTCTTCCTGTAGGAGCTCTTACCAAATCCACACAGCTGGCCCCCAGCTTACAGAGCTCAAGTAAAAGGAGAAGAGATTCACATTTGGTCAGTACAGGAGCTGCTCTGGCTTAAGCTCACATCCCATGGCCCGAATCTCCTGTAATATTTCCATAGGCATAGCTTCCAGGGTCCCCACAATGGATTTGCTCAGTTACAAAGATCAGCCCACTCAAAAGTTCAAAGCTAAGTTTCCTAGTAGGTGTTAATAGTTAGTTTATAATTTTTCCCAGTCCAGATGCAATTTACCAATCAGGGGTTATTTTTACTTTAAGTAGTTAAAGTTGTTAGGAACATATTTGGCACATACCACCTTTTCAGGTTACTTGGAGAAAAGAGCTAGATGGTGAACTGGAAGTAACATTCTCATGAGAAGGGAAAGAGAGTGGACCTTTGCCTATACCTTCCCCCTCAACCTTCCCATACTAGAGGCACATCTTCTACTATTTTACTCTGAGGGTGTGCTAACTATCAGGTTGGGGAAAGGTACCCAGCTTTAGGAGAAATTTTAGCTTGGCATTCAGAAGGTTTAGATCTTGACCAGCTTTGCCATTAACTGTATAATCTTTTTTCTTTTATTGAAATATAATTGATAATACATATGTGTGGGGTACAGAGTTGACTATCAATACTTGTGTACGATATATGATGATCAAATCAGGACAATTAGCATATTCATCATTGCAATATGTAATCATTCTTTGTGTCCATTAACTGAACGTATAACCTTATACAAATAATTTCCCTTCACTTGAGGTTTGCCCATGCACATTTTACCAAGAGACCTTCTGGAGGAGAATCTGTTGGAACTTTAAGTTCCAATCAAAGGGGATCATGGAAGGAAGGTTGAGATGAAGGGAAAGTTAAGAAAGAGAGCAGAGAAAAACTGATAAATGACTCTTAAATTCCAAGCTGTGGCTGTAAATTACAGCAGAAAAGCTTTTGCCTTTAATTAATAATGAAATAACCTCTGAAATCATTGACGATATAAACCATATATTTACATATAATGTTATATATTTCTATAAAATGTTAATTCTAGTACCAAAGCATTTTCCCTACTTTATTATTGTAATGAAAGTAAGCCTTAGGGTTTTTTTTTAAATTATTTTTTTATTTTGTGAATATACAATGTAGTTTATTATTATGTCCCATCACCGAAACCTCCCTCCCTCCTCCCTCTC